CATACATACATACATACATACATACATACATACATACATACATACATCCATACATCCATACATCCATACATCCATACATACGTATATATACATTCAACCTTTATTGATACAGGTTAGTCTCATTGAGCATTGAGGACTCATTTACAAGAGATACCTTTTTAATAATGTGAATCATTATCTTCTGAAACACAGATACAACCATATTTACACATGTACATGAAGGTTTGACATAAGATAAAACCCCTGAAACAAGACAGTTTTGCAGAGCTTTTTTCTTGTTCTGCCTTTCTGCAGGTCAAGAGAGGTGACTGGTGCATCCTTATCTTCTGAAACACAGACACAACCAATGACATCAAGTCAGAATGATGATTATCAATGCCAAGTTGTGTCTCCTCCACATGTTCTCCAAGCAGGAAAACATCCTCTGGTCCAGTCTCTCCATGGACGATGTGTGTGAGGGTGGACATGTTTGGAGGTTGCTGTGTTGAAGCTCCATGGATCAGCCTCTCTGCAGCTCTCAGCTCCTTCACTGAGCCTTGAGGGAATCACTGAGCTGCTCTTGTTCTTCACAGTTAGAAGGTGGGAGCTCTCGTCAAATGATGATATCCAGCATCATCTTGTTCATGCCAGGCTTTTCATCCACTGACCACACACACCTGGAAACATCAGGGGGACCAGCAGCTGTTTAACACATCTGGAAGGAAACCAGTGAGATTTTAATATGACCATCATGATATGATGTTATGTGGGGGAGTGGTGGAGCAGAGGTTAGAAGATGGGCCTGTGATGGGAAAGTCACAGGTTCAACTCCCGGTACCGTCAACATCAAAATGTGGGTGGAAAAGGTGAAACACCCACACCTGCCTCCACCCTCATTGGCCCCACTCTGGGCCCCTGAGCAAGGCACTCAACCCCCACCATCTGCTCCTAAACAGGTCTCTCTAGAAAATGAGTTCTCATGACTCAATGAGACTATCTGGATAAATAAGGGCTAAATGAAAAATAAAAGTTTAAAATAGAAATACTCACATCATTAGACCGAGGTTGTGTGTGTGACGTGCACGTTCCTGAGGTTGTGTGTGTGACGTGCACGTTCCTGAGAGGCCACAGACAGAGCAGCTCCAGCTTTTGTTGAGTTCCTGTAGTCCTGCAGTTTTCAAGCTGAAATGAAAAAGCATCATGAATATGAACTTTACAGTCTATAGTTACCTGTTCATATAAACACATGGAGGTGTCTCACCTTGTGACTCACAATAAAATATGTAACTTTATGAACTCTAATGAACTAATAATGATGCTCCTACTCTCTGAAGGTGAACCCATGGTACCACACCATCTCTCAGTCGGACAGTTTGATCAGTTTGATCAAAATGCTCCAGTTTAAAATCCTCACTGCTCAGATGAATCCTCCTCAAAGATACTTCCTCCTCTTCCTCACATCTTGTTCTTTGGGAAACTTTCAAAATGAAAACAGGAGATTTGTGTCTACACAAAAACATTGTACAAAGGAGGTCAAGCTTATTTTCTATTTCCTATATTCTCCCTAGTTTTATTTTTTTATTTCCTAGAACTTAAACAAAACTCCAGTTCTGATACATATCTGTTGATAATGAACCAAAGCTACAGAAATAGTGAGTTTGCTTGTTAGCAAAATATTCCTGTCATCAGATCTCAGTCAGCTTCATTGCAACTGAACACCGTGTTACACTGAACATCACATCAGCTGGTGGACATAAATACAGTACAGTAATATTATATTCACAAAATACTAACAATAATATGTTCATCTTACTGGTGAAAAGTTATTCCCTGAGACCTGACGTCAACAGTCCGTTGATTAGAACAGAAATAAGCTGCGAAGTGCTGAGACATCTTCTGCTTTAACCAAATAAGGACAACCGTTTCAAGATGGCGGCTGAAAATCCTGCGCCGCAGCAGCCAATGAGGCATCTAGTGTTTATATCTATGGTTCTCACTTCTGGTCACTTCAGGACTTCCTGATTGGTTGAAACAACCAACAATGGGTGGTTCTAGTGACGTCAGAGGGTCATTACAAGTCAAGAAAACAGCAAGAATGTTTTAGAAACGTCCCGTACAGACAGAAGGCATGTTATGGCTAAGTGGGAGGAAGCAGATGCCAGTAGCTTCTTGTTTACCGTCTGCTAGGTTCAAAAACACGACACTTCGTTCTAATAACTTCTTTCTGACTTTCGACCGACATCACTACTTCTCATTTCAGACAAAAGATCAAAATGCATAATTACTTTGTAAATAGACATTTAACTTGATTTCTAATTTAAATGAGGATTAAAAAATCATTAATACTGTTTCACAGTTGATTTAAAATGAGCGGTTCACTTCAACATTTAGAAATGGTATGAACTAAACACACTTGATTTATCAAGATATTGTAAAATAGTAATGATAATATAAAAGAAGAGTGTTCTTTCAATTGATTACTTCACGATACAATTAGACAGTCTCTGGATGAGCTAATTTGTATTTCTGGATTAAATCAATGAAATAACAGCTCCTGTCCCATGAAGGTCCTCAGAGGCAGGTTTTGGTCGGAGGCCGAGTTCACTACAGAGCCAATGAACTGAACACATTCTTCAATAGGTTCAGTTCAGGAACAAGCTCAGCATTCTCCTCTCTTGCCCACAGCCAAACATACATACCACCCTCCTTTGACCCAAGTCTGTCCTATCACACCTCAAATACTGTATCTACCACCTCAGTCATGGACCCTTCTTCTACATATTGGTCTTCAACCAAATCGGAAGATGCTGTTACCTCCTTTGCCTCCCCCCTCTGCGTCTCCAGAAGTCAGGTGAGGAAGCAGCTGGAGAGACTGAACCAGAATAAGGCTGCAGATCCAGATGGTGTCAGTCCCAGAGTCCTGAAGGTCTGTGCAGAGCAGCTCTATGGGGTTCTGCAGCACCTCTTCAACCTTAGCCTGACCCAGGAGAAGGTTCCAGTGTTGTGGAAAACATCCTGTCTTGTTCCAGTGCCAAAGAAAACTCACAAATCAGTCCTCAATGACTACAGACCTGTTGTCCTGACATCCCACATCATGAAGGTCATAGAGAGACTTCTGCTGACCCACCTGACTAGACAAACAAGCACATATCAGGACCCACTGCAGTTTGCTTATCAGCGTGGACTTGGAGTTGAAGATGCCATCATACACCTGCTTCAGCAAACTCACTGTCATCTAGAAAAGGCAGACAGAACTGTGAGAGTCATGTTCTTTGATTTCTCCAGTGCATTTAACACAATCCAGCCTGATTTGCTTTGTCAGAAACTTCAGAAGACTTAGGTGGAGTCCTCAACAATCGCCTGGATCAAAGACCATGGACCACAGTTTTTGATACTGAAGGGTTGTGTGTCTGACCAGGTGGTCAGTAGCTCAGGAGCACCACAGGGGACTGTACTCTCTCACCATTCCTTTTCACTCTGTACACCTCAGATTTCCAGTACAAAACAGACTCCTGTCATCTGCAGAAATATTCTGATGACTCTGCAGTAGTCGGGTGTATCAGATATGGACAAGAAGCTGAGTACAGGGAACTGGTGGACCACTTTGTGGCATGGTGTGGAAACAATCATCTCATCTTGAATGTGAACAAAACAAAGGAGATGATTGTAGATTTCAGGACAATCAGGAACAGGTCCAACCCTATTTCCATCATCGGAGAAGAAGTGGAGGTGGTGGAGAAGTATAAATACCTTGGAGTTCACCTAGACAATAGACTGGACTGGAAATGCAGCAATGAAGCCGTCTACAAGAAGGGACAGAGCAGACTGTACTTCTTGAGGAAGCTAAAGTCCTTCAGTGTTTGCAGCAAGATGCTGCATATCTTCTATAAGTCTGTTGTAGAGAGCGCTATCTCTTCTGCCATCATCTGCTGGGGGGCAGCACCAGAGCAAGTGACTTAAAAAAGATCAACAAACTCATAATGAAGGCTGGCTCAGTTCTGGGGACTCCTCTAGAACATTTGGAGATGATTGTTCAAAGAAGGATTCTTCATAAAATGAAGAACATTATAGACAACCCTCAGCATCCTCTTCATCAGACTGTCATACAACAACAAAGTGTCTTCAGTCAGAGGCTTCTTCAAATCCGTTGTAGGACAGACCGCTACAAGAGATCCTTCCTGCCCACAGCATCAGCATCTAGAACAACTCTTTAATGAAACCAGGATG